ATTCTCCTGCCTTAGTCTCCCTAGTAGCTGGAATTACAGGTGCATGCCACCACACCTAGCTACTTTTTATATTTTTAGTAAAGATGGGGTTTCACCATGTTGGTCAGGCTGGTCTCGATCTCCTGATCTCAAGTGATCCACCTGCCTCAGCCTCCCAAAGTGCTGGGATTATAGGCATGAGCCACTGTGCCTGGCCACTCCCTTAACATTTTCAGTACATCTGAAATGTAACAGTTTGTTTTCTCTTTAAATGTTTGTCCTGAGGAGCACAACTTTGGTAGAATTCTAACAAGTCAATACAGAAGTTAGGTGAAGTCAGTTTTTGGATATTCCAGTACCGTCACTTTGGTCTTACCTCATGCCTTAGCCCAAGCTATGCCCACAGTGGGGTCCTAGATTCCCCTCCCCTCCCAGATTTCGCCTTTCCAGGGATGGGACCCCCAGAACCCTCAGGGGCCTGGGCAGCAGCCTCGCTAGCTCTCGCCTTCCTAGAAGCTGAGCAGGGGCTCTACTCCACAGCAGGGCAGGCTGCCCCAGATCCAGGGCTTGAGGCACAAGGGGACTCCCCAAGTAGCTGTGAAGCCGCAGGGCCAGGGATGCGGCCAATAGGACACGTCCTGGCACTGCTCGGGGAGCTGACTCACAGCTCAGAAATCATTCAGTGATGTCCACACTTGGCCTCTGTTCATGACGCTGCTGCTTTTTCATGGCCTGAAATTGCAGCACACCCCCTTTTGTGCCCCGATCCCCTGCTAATTGTGATAGATGTATTGGTGATGGGACAGACTCACTTTCTCCACACACACAAGCCTGATGGCCAGCAGTGCCTAGCACTCGGGAACTTACCATCAGGACTCCCAGCCTCTGCTTGGACTCTCAATGCTGGTGGACTCACAGTCTGACTAGGCATATCACCATCCAACTCTCAAAGGACAGCCTGTCCTCAGCAGGGCTTCCTCCCCTGTGACCCCACCCAGGACCTGTCTGTCCTTACTATTTTGCTGTGGCAGTGGCTCCCCCACTGGACACCAATACCACACTCACAACCCTGCCTGAGAGGGTTAAACCCTGCAGGCTTCAGCTCTGTGCCCCTGCTGTGGGTGGCTGGGGAGCTCTGGCTAGCTGGGGGAAGTGGTTCTAGACTATGGTGGCTGCTCTGTCCTATGCCGGGCCCAGACCACCACATCACCCACCCTCAAACAACCCCGGGCAGCTCTAGCCAAGGAACAAACCAGCCCCAAACTTAGAGGCTGAAACAGAGGCATGTTCGATGGGCCAGGGGCAGGCTGGATCAGCTGGTGCTTCTGCTGCTGGCCGTGCCTGTGTCCCTCCTACACCTATGATCAGCTGGGGCCAGTGGGGCATAATAACCTCATTCACGGCCGGGGCAGTAAAGGAGACTGTGTCCTGTATCCAGTGTCCCACAGGCCAGCCCAGGCTTGACCGTGTGGTGGGCTCAGGCTTCCAGAAGTTCTGGATAGGGCAAGCCTCTGCTTGTGTCACTTCTGCTACCTCCCTGTTGGCCAAAGTGCCTCATGAGGCCAAGGCCAGATGCCAGGTGGAGTGAGCTGCTGCCCTAAGCTGGGAGGAGCGCAGTCACATGGCAGAGGCTGTGCACACCAGCAGGGGAGGGGGCTGCCAGCAGTGGCAGCCTGGCTCTAGGGTTCATGTCTTCGGGTTGAGGAAGGCACAAGCTGGAGATCAGGGCAATGTGGCAGAGGTGGGTGCCTGCTTTAGCTGGGTGGTCCCAACACCGGAACCCAGCCCAGGGATGGAGGGAAAGGGCCTATGGCTTATGGGTACTCTGGGAGCTTGAGCTGGGGTGGGTTGGGGGAGGGAGTGGGAAGCACAGCACAGGCCCTGCCAGTCACCTGGGTGATGTGTGAGGAGCAGGTGGAACTTGTCCCAGAGTGGGGGCCCCAGTGCTGTGCAGACCAGCTATGCCGGGATACCTGGATATAGGAAGCTGGAGATGAAACTTGAGAACTGTCACTACATGGATATTTCAAACCATGAGAATTTTTGTAAAACCCTGTAAGGGGTGGTGTCAGGACAGAGTTGAGGGCCCCCAACCCTATCTGAGCAGTGTCACATCTGTAATTTAGAATTTTTTTGTACCTATGTTAAAAGATAAAATGAATTTCAGTAATACATTTTAAGTAGCCCAAAATATACAAAATATTGCCACTTCAAGTTGTATTCAAGTTGCTTTTAGAAAAGTGATGTGGCATTTTTGCATTATTTTACTACAAAATCTCCTAAATCCTGTGACTATTTGATACTTGTAACACATCTCAATTCAGAGCAGCCACCTTCCAAGAACTCGGGGGCTGGTGGCAGCCATGTGGGACAGAGCAGCTGTGGGGATGGGGCAGAGGAGTGCAAGGGCAGGGGCCGGAGCCCAGTCACCTCGCAGAACCCCAGAAGGACTTGAGGGAGGGATGGCAGGAGAGCCAAGGAGCTTCCCTGCCCCGTGGAGCAGGCTGCTGGGTGGGTCAGGGCCTCAGGAAGGGCTGCACTTCCAAGAATGGAGGTGGAGGAGAGGTGGGGGTGGGGCTGGCAGGAAGAGGGCCTTGCTGGCTAAGGGCTGAGCCTCCCCAGGGAGAAGAGTAGGGCAACCCAGCAGAGTCCTGCTGGGAAGAGGACTCATTGGACAGAGCCCATACCCCAGCCCCACCTCACAGGCGATGAAGTCTGGAGAGTATAGATGGTGGACTTGGGGTGGCAGGACAGACTCAGAGCTGGGACAGGGACCCTGTACCGGGGGCAGTGTCCTGGAACTGGCCCTCAGCTCCTGGCTTCACCTGCACAGGATGGAGTAGCTGTAGCTGTGCCTGCACCCTGCAGGCCACCAGGTGTACTTTGGCCAGCTGCTAGGCATGTGTGATGACATCAGTTTCCTGCTGGGTGAGTGGGGCCCTCCCTGGTATGGTGCGGTGGGGTGCTGGGCCTGGGCCTCATGGCACATCTCTCCCCCATGCACGCCAGGCCAGCTACCCCGTGTCCAAGTATGTTCTCTATGGCCCGGTGATGGACGTGCTGCCCTACCCATTCCGCCACACCCTGGAGAACAGCAGCCTCATGAAGGGTGCTTGTCTGGAGTGGCAGCTGCTATGGCTGGAGCTCTTGCAGTGGCTTCAAACTGGCAGCTTCTTCCATCACCCTGCCTAGCACCCGAGAGCCCACCCTTGGCCTCCAGGCAACCCAGCTGTGGCCTCCAGGGACCCTCACCCCTCCAGGCCATCACCACAGCTGCAGCCAACCCCATCCTCACACAGATTCACCTTTTTTCACCCCACACTTCAGAGCTACAGGATGTGGGCCAGGTACCTCCCAGTCCCACCCAGGGTGTGGGTCAAACCTGATACCTGCCTGGGAAAGCCGCTGGGAACTCTCCTCGGATGTGTGGGCCCAAGCCCCTACCTCCATGACCCACATGTCCTTGGACCAGGAGGATTGTCTGCCTTCTGCCAGGGGCAGCCCACAGAGCTCGAGCCCCTTGGGGAGCAGTAGCCAGGCTGGGGAGGCCTGCCTGGTCAATAAACCACTGTTCTTGCAGCTGAGAGCCCTGTTCCCACACAGGGTCAGCTCTGGACAGCAAGAGGGAGGGGCTCAGACAGGGTCCCAGAACTCTCAGCCCAGACTCTGGCCTCCAGCATCATCTGTTCCTGGAGGCTAGGCCCTGTGCAGACCTTGTCACCCAGGGTGCTGGACACCCCCAACCCTGACTCTACAACTCAGGATCCAGCAGGGCCCCTGGGCTCAGGGCAGCATGAAGGGGACTCATGCAGATGCAGAGACCAAGCTCCCCAGGTGGGCCTGATACCCCCTCCCCCTGGGGCTCCTCCTGAGACCATTCCCTGGCATCCTGAGTCCTCCACACTCCCCGCCCCCCACTGCAACTATGACCTGCATCAGGCTCCTCCTAGTGGTTCCCACAGGACACTGACCAGGCTGCAGCAGGTACACACTCAGCCCCCTGCCTTCTCCCACACTCTCTAGCCCCCAGCCCCACGAAGCAGGCTGGATGTGGTCCTCAGGCCCTGGGGCTTGGGTGGAGTCCCCATGCAGATGGTAGTGACAGCATCCTGGGACCAGGGCTGGGACAGGAAAGGCCTGGAGGCTCCCAGTCTCCATGCAGGGGGAGGGATGGTGGGCTGGGCACACAGCCCAGGAAGGGACCCCCAGGCAGGGTCCTCTGCTGCAGCAGAGGTGGGGGCCCTACTAGGGCCCTGGTTATGGCAGAACCCACAGCTGTCACACAAGCCACATGCAGGCCACACTGAGGCATCTTTATGTCTCTGAGTCACACAGAGCTTGGGCCTCGGAGCCTCTTCTGCTTGGGGGCTGCAGCTGCCAAGGGAGTGGCTGAGACCAGAACAAGCACTC